TCTGGCCGGCACAGCCCCTGCCTGGCGTGCGGACCCTCCGCAAATGCCGCTGGCTTCCGTCAGAAATGAGGCCCACACAGCCCCAGCCCCAGTGCCCAGACAGCAGGAGGGGATCAGCTCGCGCTCTACCTTGGTGTAATGAAACTGCATGGGGTCATCTGTAGAAAGGGACACCATGAGGCCCTTCTGGTGGAAGTCTAGCAATGGATTCTTCGCGTACTCCAGGAAGAGGCTGTTGTTGCTGAGTGGGGACATAGCAATGGGGATTTGGGCAAGGAAGTACAGATACTGCAACACCGGGCTCTGCAAAGATGAGCAGAGTTGCCAGGTTAGGGATAAAGTTGCTGCACCTTCCACCTCTCCGGGGTCGCTCCTCAGATCAGCCCAGTGCCCCGGCCAGGAAGTCTGGTGCACAGAGCTCATGTGTGCTAGAAAAGAGAGAGGCAAGCTAGCAATCCTCCAGGGCCCTCACGGAGCACAAGAGGCCAAGTGAGTTCTGGTTCAGTACTCGGCTGGCTCCAGTGATAACAGATGTATGCAGTGATAGGTCTGTGAGGCTGAACCCCTGAAAACTGAATACGTTTCTGAGCTACATCCTCAAACACACCTGGAGAAACCCAGAGAATCATGTAACATCTGCCTGAAGCCAGGCTGTCTGCACCAGTCTAAAGCAAAGGCATAATTAACTGTCAGCTACAGTGGAGGCCAGCTGTGAACACATTCTCCTCCTCTGCCGCGCCTGGGCTGCTCTCTGGCAAACCACTCCACTTACCTTCTTGAGGTTGAGACCATGGGAGATATTATCTGCTGTCATGAAGGCTGTAAGCAGATGTGTGAGGGCACCGGCTTCCCCACAGTGTGGACGGAAGAGGAACGTGTTCATACCACGCTGCCTAGGCATATGGAAGAAGGACTCAGAGCAAGCAAGCAGGAGGGTTAGGTGGCACACAATGCAAGATTCCCTGACTTCAGGTCCAGCTCTGCCCCTACCAGTGGGTTCCCAAAACCCAGCTCGACCTAGGACCACATTACTTGTTCTCTTTTCTCCTCTGTGCATGCAATAGATGCATCTCTGCAATCCCAAAGTCTTCACCCCAGCCCATCACACTTCCTACCAAGGAGCATTTGGATTGCTCTGGGACATGAAGCTCCAAACTACGCTGGTGGTAGAGCAAGAAGGGGCCCACTTCTTCCACACCAACAATCAAAGAGCTGAGACAGCTGAGACAGCTCTTTGTGGCCGCCCCCCTTCTGCCAGCCCATCACAGGTGCCTTAGCAGATCCTGGGCCTCACCTGCGTAGGTTGTTAAGCACCAGGATGTTGGCATACATATAGTATAGATAGTAGGTGTAGGATGGATTCTTCTCAGAAGTCCACTGCATTGGCTTTGGGCTTTTTGTGCAGAACATGTGTCCACTATGCTTGGATTCATCATCCACGCTGTCGAAGCCAGTGATCTGCTTGGCAAGGTGACAAAAAAGCTGCATCTCAAAGCTCCCCACCTCATCCTGCCCAGGTAGGCTAGCTCACCCTGCCATGCTGCAGCTTGCCATAGCCCAGCCGTAGTCTGTACCCCTGCCCCACCCAAGACGAGTCAGGGGCAAGGTTGCAGACCTTGCTCCTCACAGACCCTCAAGCTCTATCAAGGGCTAGAAACAAAGCTCACACCAAACCACTTCCCCAGGAGGTGAGCAGGCAGCATTTCTCACAGCCCCACAGCAGCCAGCTCAGGGAGTCTGATCCTTCAGCACTTGTGGACACACACCCCCTTTCCCAGAATGTGGCAGCAGGGTCACGAGCCCACTGATGACATTTTCCACATCAGGGGCAATACCCGATGTCCTGTGCACAAACAGGAACGTGGGTGCTCACCACACCCTGACAACATCATCAGGCGACACTCACATGACGTAGAAAGACACTCAGCTCTTTGTGGGCTTGAGGATTGACAGTTGCCTCAAACACAGGAATAAAGATATTTTCCAGCATCTTCTCAAAGTGTGGGAGGAAATTCTTAGACCTGAACACATCACTGTGGACAGAGACAGGGATTAGCTGCGAGCAGAGGAACAACATGGCCCACTGTCCCCATAATCCCTTCACGATAAAAAATGAGGTGTAGTGAGGCACTGTAAGGCACAGTGCACTCCCAGACCCACAGCACGTACTAAATCCTGGGTACTTGGATCATCCACTTCATGTTGGGGGAATAGACCCGATGTTTGTTGAACCAGTTGGCCAGCTTGGGCCACTCCTCAGCTGATCGCCCATAGATTGAGAGCCGAGGCTCCGCGTGCTGGTACTTGGCATCCTCCAGATCAGAGCCAACCTCCTGCAAACCAGAGCAGATGGTTGCATGGGGACCCTCCGGCTGCTGGGCACAGCAGCACCACAGCTTGGCTGCTCTCTCCTCCCCTGTATTCTCACCTTAATGATGGTAGCAAAGTACTCGCCATTGATAGCGTTCTCTGTCTTCAGATAGAGGTCACGCAGCTCACTTGCACCCACAGGGTTGTACTTGTCATTGAACTTGTCAAAGCGCTGAAATGTCTGCCGCCCCTGGAGTGGGATCAGGGGCAAATAGTACACTCACACACTGCGTCCAAGCGTACCAGCTCAGCAGGGACTGACCCAAACAACCCAAAATGGGAGAGCCAGGAGCTGCTACATCCTGCCACAAACACTACCATGCACAACACGTCGTGGCTACAAAGGGAGGGGAAAAGCCATGCCTACAGGGGTGGATGACAGTGACCCAAGAGTGGCCTTACAGTAAATGCCCTACCACTTACAGCATGGACGTCCAGGGAATCCACTGTCAGGTCATAGGGGTGCAGATTGAGCTGCTGGAAAAGCTGTTTCAGGGTCAACTGTTTGCCCTTGGCATCATAAACTACACGGTCAGCATCCACACAGTATGATTTCTTGATGAACCGCAGAAGATGCTTCTGGTTCATGCAGGCTGCAGCATGAATGTGTGTGTCCACCTGAGAAACCAGAGGGACATCTATCTAGCTTCAAGTTGGGATGCTCAGGTACCATCACAGGGAGGTTAACAAACCCCTCAGGTGAGCCCAAGTTGTACGGGGAGCACGGCTCAGCCCAGAAGATGAACACAATAGGCCTAGGCCAAGAGCAGCCCAGTCAGCACCATCCCGTTAGCAGGAACAATGTAGGTACCACAGACCTTGACTCTAATATCCAGCTCTCAAGAAGGGGAAGGCACCAAGACAGCTTGTCTTCAAGAGTCACTAGGGCTGCAAGCCTTGCCGTTTACCTTTCGGCAGTTGTAGAAGTCCCGGTGGGGGTTGTTCTTCAGCTCTTTCATCTCTTCCATCTCATTTAGCATTTCATGCACTTGGAACTTGGATGAGAGGAACTTCAGGCGCCGATGAGCGTACGTCTTACTAGTGAAAGCAAAGGGCAGAACAGTGACTGGGCTCCTTACCCCTCAACACAGGGGCATGGCCCATCAAACACAGGGATGCAGCTTTCACCTAGGTGGAGAAGCTCATGCTGGCCTGGACTGCTTCCCTAAGGTGCTTCTCCTGGCTCTGTTACAGAGCTTCAAAGGAAGGCCTGGCCAGGTGTGAGCATACCTGCAGGACATGTCTCCAACCCCTGAATGCTGACTTTGCTTAAGATCCCAATCAAGATGGCCGGCAAGGGCCAAGGACACTTTGGTAGCCAGCAGGCTGCAGGTATGGAATCAGCGGGTCCCCCCCTCCTCCCAGGAAGAGGAGAGGACAACCCTGGCTCTGCCCTGCCCGCCCTCTACCTGTGCGGCTGCGCCCAGCAGTGCTGGGCTGTGCACTTACACGGGCCCCTGTGCGATCAGGGCCAAGAGGAAGTTCATGTCATCAACGAAGTGCTCAAGGCTGGGGTAGGGCAGGTCCTTTGGCTCATTTCTTTCAACTGCTGCTTTGTCTCCATAGACGTAAACTACCCCATCCTTCATCTGGACGTGGTATCCCAGGTCCTCACCGAGACTCCCGGTTTCAAAGGGATCCTGTCCATCCTTCACTGGAGGGGTGAACACTGGACCAGAAGGAGAATACCATGAGGCGCAAGCTGCCAGCCAAAACCCCACAAGCCTGCCATGCTCCTCCACGCCACGCAGAGGGCAGGGACCGCCCCACCACAGTGACACTGGAGGGGCGGCCTGGGCAAGCAACTCCCCCGTGGAGCACTTCCACAGCCCTTTTCTGACTCACGCCCACCCCACGCTGAAGCCAGAGAGGAAAACCCTCCGGGTGCACAGATGTACCTGGGCCAGTGTCACTTGCCCTCCAGACCTCGCCTTCAATAGCACGCAGGTACTGAGATGGGGTCCTGGGGAACCTCTGCACAGATTGCTGCATGTGTTTCTCCCGGATGCACAGGGCACGGTACAGACCTTTGCAGACAACTTCAAAATCTTCCACTGTCACCTGCAAGAGGGCTGTTGCTGAACGCAACCAGGCAACTGGAACCTACCTGCCTGAGAGATACCCTGCGGCACCAAGATGTAAAGAGGACACTTTTGTTCACAGCAAAATACGTACCTTATCATCCCCTCCCTCACACTGCTCTGCCTGAGCAGGGCAAAGAAGGGATGATAGGCAAAGTCCTAGACATGGCAAAGGGAAGTTCCTCACACCAGAACCAATGAATTCCAGCTGTCATCCCCTCCTACGTTCCTCACTGCAAACTGTAGCTGGCACTGAAATGGAAGCCAGGCCTGGGCAAAACACTAAAAGCTATTTTTGGAGCCCAGGCTGAAACTGAAGCAGGACCAACAACATACACTGACCCAATGTGTCAAGAATTTTTGATTTACTGCACAGACAAGTGTTTTGGGCAGTCAAGAGAGGTCAGACTGGAGCAGCATGGGAGAATACCATGCAGCACTTGCAGCTAGTTACAGTCATGGCAGGAGGAATGTGCCTGTGCATGGAGGGGCTTTCAGCTTCCCCTAACTGCTCCTCTGTTCCTCAACTCCAAGCTGAGCAACCTGCTCCAGCCCCGTAGGGAGCGACCTGCCAGCAGCATCTCAGAAGCAGCAGAAATGTAATAGGAGGCTGTGGAAGAGGAGGAGGAATTCACACAGGATGCAATAGCAGTGCTGGTAAACTGGCTCTGGGTGACTGCTTGAGCAGGGAGGTTAGGGCAGATGACCCCCAGAGGTCCCTGCCAACCTCAACCATTCTGGGATTCTGTGACGTGCACAGATCTCAGGTATAGCTGTGTGCAAGCAGGAGCAGGCTGTGACACAATGAGCATAGCCTACCCTGCCATGCCCTCCCCTCTGCCCTGTCCAGAGAATCCCGTGGGAAGCATGCAGCACCCCACAGACTCCTCCTAAGGAATTCAGCTCCGGACCCTCCAGGGATGCCGCAGGGCACCATCAGATGCTCATGAGACACAACTGAGCTGGACGACACAGACTATCCTCGCTGCACCTGGTACAGGCTCCTGTGACACTGGGCACTACTGAGGGACAGGCAGGGACTAGATGAGGTGGTAGTCAGCACGGGGGAGGGTCTAGCCATGCAAGTACCTACCCCAGAGGCATAGTCCCCTGTGATCTGTACCCGCTGAAAGTCAGGCACAGTCTGGTACAGCGGGGAGGTAGAGATGACCTCATCAATAGTGGACAGTCTGGTTATAGACCTCTGAGCCACAGGGACTGCCAAGGCAATTGTCTTCATGCGGAACAGGCGCTTCTTCCTGCCGGGAGGAAAGCCTCAGGCAAAGAGCCATGACTCCATGGCCACATTCAGGTGCAGGGTCAGGGGCACTCACCACAGACATGTTCCAACTGTGCACAACATGAATCATCTCACCGGTGCTTTCTGAGCACCTTAAACAGACACTGCCAAGAGTAGAGGCCACAGCACACAAAGTAGTCACAGACTTTCAAGCATGGTTTTGGCAGTTGCATCTTTCCAGAGGAAGGTCTCCAAGTCTCCCCCTCCAACCACTCTGTGGCCATTGCCGTGCTGACACCCAGGGAACAGACCAGGGGGTGTCTTTCTGTGCAACAGTGGGAACAGCCAGAGAGGAAACCCTGAAGTACCTGCCAGATGCTCTGGGATTACCAAGGATTTATCCCATGGGTGTGGTGGGCTGTTTTCACTGGCCTCGATTTATGCTTTCTTCCAGCTCTGGATGGGGATCTGCAGACAATGCTCCTTTCCTACCCCCAACTGCCCTGGTTGTTGCTCACCGCTTTTCTGCTGTGGCAGAGCTCTCCTGAAGTATCATGTGCTCTCTCATTTCCTGGAGTGAGATGGGGCAGATGTCTTCCACATCAAAAGGAGATATCTCTTGCCTGATCTCCTCATCCTTCACCTCAGAGGCAAAGACCTTCTCTGCGAAGGAGCGCATTGCCTCATCCATCTCTACAAGGAGAAGGAGCAGAGTCCAGGGTCACACAGGCACCTAGTTCCCGGCCACCACCTAGGCAGGTGCCCCTCGCAGTCAGCTCAGCGCTCAGCTGCCATTGCCTTACGACACCAACACGTCCATGCTGCCTGGAAGACTGAGACACCTTCAAAATTTGCAATAAGCTTATAGAGCCTGGGCCACACAGAGTGGGCTGGAGACATACCCAGACACCCCCAGCACACCAGAAAAGGTAAATACACCCCACAGCCCAAGAGTAGTGCAAAAAGGCCCAGAAAGAAGCAAGGCCTTGGGAAGGGCACTTATGAGAGCATGCACTGGGGCAAGAGGGAAAGATTGGCAGAGACCTTACAGCTCTAGGAAGCCCAAGACCCACTTGCTCCACAAGGCATCCATCAGAATGAAGACGGAGGTATAGATGGAGATGGACAGAGCTGTCAGCCCCAGCACTTAGTTCCCTCTATCACAGTGCAGCTGAAGAGTTCCTAGCTAGGGAACCATCGTGTGGATTAGACCCCTCTCAGCCCATCACGTGCAGCATGCTGCAAAGGTGCCAGCTAATGTGGCCCTACAGAAGTCGCCATTCACACAAGGTTGGCTGGAGCTTTGTGAAGTAGGAGAAAGAAGATTAAAAGCCCTTCTACTGCCAACAAAATACCATAAAACAGGAACCCAAGGGCTCTTCTGGCAACATCTCCCAGACGTGTACATTTGCATAGCGGCATATGGGCACTAATGGAGCAGGCTTTGCCAGCAGTTGGCAGCTCAGCATGAAGCGTAGCGAGAATCGATGCTGAAAGATGGACCACACCATTGACATGTCAGAGAGGACATGGTCAGCAGATGAGGACCAAAGCAGAAAGGATTGACATGCATGGCAGAAGTGTGCCAGACCTACAAGAGGTTTTCAGTAATGAACGTAGACAGTTCTTTTCCCAGTTTTTGTTATGTTGGGGGGATCATAACAGTTTATCCCTGTAGCCCTGGATTTGCAGTTCCAAGGTCCTAGCTGTGGGCTGGTGGGGGGAGAGGGGCCATAACACAAGGGCTTCCTTTCTCTGCTGTTATATGGTGAGGCAAAAGGGCTTGTGCTGAGCTACAAACACATGGGGAAACTCTGGCACTGGGTCCATTTCTCAGCAGTGCAATGTCACAAAACCAGGATTTAAGTAACAAAAGTTGCTTGCTGTTGTAAAGCTGCTGTATCGTCAATGGGCCCCAAGATGCTTCTTAGAAGACAAAATGCAGGTGTTTTGCACTGTCCCATCATTGCCCACTGTTAGTGTCTCAGCAAGAAATGTTTTCTGCTGACACATAAGGCCTCAGCAAACATGAAGTAAGAAGAAGAGGGCAGGAGCACCATGTTGTGGACTTCAGCCTGAATGAAGGTTGTGAAGCATTGGCTCTGTCCCCTCATGGATCAAATCCACCAGGAGCAGCAAGCCTTCAAAAGAAGTTATTTTAGGCTGGATCGCTGTTTAAAGAAAAAAAATAATAAAAGCAAACGCCCAAAACCAACAAAGGTGTGAATAGGTGCAAGGGAAATTGCAAAATGTTTCACTTCCTGCCACAGAGGAAAGAACTCCACTAAAAAAAGTTTATCTCCTATGCAGGAGCTCAGGCATGCTAGGACAATATTTAACAAATAGCAGCTTTATATATCAACGGTCCAAAAAGCTGAAACCATTCCATGAAACAGTGAGGAGCACAGCTGGCACTGCTGAGAAATAGTATCTTCTTGAACTGCTGTAAGATGACCATGATCATGTAACTGCTGTTTGTTTCCAATGATCATGTCTAGGCAGTAACACAGCAGAGCATATACAAAGTCTAGCAATACTCACCTTTGTCTTCTGCTGTTTGAAATAAAAGAGAAACAAAATAAACCCAGATGTGATCAGCCCTTCAAAATCTAAGCCTTTTTGCCTAAACATCACACCAGTGATTAAAAAGGGATTAGTAAAGTACAAGTTTAGCCAAAGCCTTCCCCTTACAAAAGAACGAGCAGTACTTGTCACTTTGTTCAATATAAAGATGTAAGTTCGGTGTTGACTGTTCCATGATACAGCCTCGGCGGTGCGCACATAAATGAACCATATTGCAGATGCCATCCAACCTGAGACTGCCGTACAGCAGTTTCTGGGTTTTCCTACAGCTGTCCAAGGGGAACAGCATTTTCTAGAACACAGATCACCTCAGACAACACTACAAACAATTAACAGACACCTAGTCATCTAATAAGACTGAGTTGTCTTGGAAGGTCTCTCCCTTCAGCTTTGTCCAGGCACAGGGATGCAGAAGAGCATAGGAACTATTTATGAGGGCAGAACAGCATCTCCTGCCTGAATAAGAACGCAAATTTCAGTGACTCCGAGCACTGGGGCTGCTTTGCTATTTTTTGTCCATGACTCGCCATCCTTTGTGAAAATCAGGGTGGATGGTCATTTCAAAGATGCTGAGTTTCATCCTCCTGCTGTCTTTGGTCGTATCTCCACTTATTCACTAACAGGATCAGACAGCTGAGACAACGCAGTTCCACAGATCTTCGCTCCTGGTCATACAGTGCGGCATCAACATTTTGGGGGTGCAACTCGTGCCCTTTCCATCTGACCCAGAAAACTTAGTCTGGAGCCGTGGCATCACAAGTCACCAGCTGCTGACTTCCTGAAGTCCAGACTGCAGAACATACTCTCCTGGCATTTGAACTCCACATACTCATTTGCAATCTAAGCATCCTAGAAATGCCTAGTTTGACCTTTCATCTCTTTAGTGGATGAAAATTACACTCGTGAAGGTCAACAAACTCCCACTGATGTTGCAGGGCCAGGCTTTAATGCTAGCCTCACGTACTGGGACAGTGACTATCACACCACACAGCACTGCAATTCTAAACGTGCTCTTATCAGAACTATTTGGTGCTGATATTCTTTGGGGCTCTGTAAAGGCAGTCACACATCCCTCTGTACTGTTCTGCAAAGCCTGGCTTGCCCTGTTCCTGCTGCCGGGCTTGCCTGCCCCATCCCCTTGGGACTGCAGCACCCCACATCTTCTGAGCTTAGTCAGGCTGACCAGAGACTCCTGAGATCCCTCCAACCCCTTCCACAGCGATTTAATGGTATCACTACAAGATACATTACACTGCAGGAGGGACAATATTTTTCTTCAGTACGAGCAGAGCAAGATTTAAACAATAATGCTATTTCTTTGCTGCGCTATCCAAAAATATCTCTAAGCAGGAAGAAAAATGGTTAAAGCCCCCAGCGAGGTCCCCTGGACGGCAAGGATACCTACCACACCATCAAAATCCTGGAGACTGCAGGCTAACAAGCCTGCCCTCTGGCTCCTTGTCTCACTAATTGCTTTCAGACATACCTGGAATTCTCACCCGTGACATCTTTCCAGCAAGTTTGCAGAGCGTGAAGTAACACCTTATTGTAACAGAGCACAAGTAGGTAACTGACTGCACAACAGCCTAACACTAATTTTACTCCTTCCCCTTCCCTGTAATTAGACTCTCCCACTCTAAAAGGAGAAGGGAGGTCGACTATAAGACTATTTAAAGTGCAACCACAAGCACTTGCACTGAAACAGGTGAAACCAGGGCTCAAATTTAACTCTTTTTTTTTCTTGTAGTTAGGATTTCATTTTACATTTAGTAGCATTTCAGCTGTTGCCTGGCCAGATTGCTACTTCCTGGGACAGTTGCAGCTTTCTAAAGTGGACTGTGGAAGTCAGTCTTTTAGGAGAGACTAAAACTGCTGTCTTCTGTGCTGGACAGTGGTTTAAAGGAAATCCCTAAGGCACAGGGGTGATGTTTTCATCAGAGCAGGAGCTGTGGATAGGTACAAATGATGTGCTCTCACCAACCAACAGGCTATTCAGACAAGATTTTTCCTGAGAAGGATCTACTGCAAAGACTGGATTTTAGCAACAAGAGTTGCACAGATGTCCTCGCATCTTCCCAGCTGAATCGAACAAACAAACAAACACACAGGAGAGTGCAAGGAGCTGTATTTTGTTCTTGAGCTTTTCAGGAACTGCCTTTATAAAAATGTGTATCATAATAGTCAAGTGATATTCAGTTCTGTATGTAGTGAGCCATAACCAAGGCATCTCTAGCGCTTAGTACAATCCAAGGTGTGGCAAGAAACTCCTCCCTTAAGCTACAACCAGGGGTCTGGATCCGACAGAGCAGAGTATCAGTTTGGGAAGTGCATCTTGGCTGTTTTAAGTAGATTCTCTCTAGCATGCAGGCATCGAGGGCTGTACCCAGTCCTTTAGGGTCTCCTCAAACCTTCAGATCTCTCGCATGAAGTTGGAAAGCAGCTCCTATCTGAAGAAAATGACCAGAATTCGAAGCGCCCTGCACGTTGCCAGGGTAACTCTGAGCTTCTGACTCAGCTTCCTGGTGGGAAGCAGTAAGCCTCAACAGGTCAGGAGGATACAATAGTTTTGATTTGAAAGAGAGTCTTTTTTCCTGTTTGTTTATACTTCACTTCTTGATGGAGTTGACAAACTGCACTGAAATTAGGACAAGTCAAGCAAAGCATTCAGGCTACAGTCAGCACTTTCTTGCTGCTGATTCAAAAGGTGACTTTGGTCATAACATTGAGGGGAACAGGAAAACTAGCACCCCTGGAAAAGACAACGTTTTTTGGAATTATACGTGCACATAATGGCTTCCTGTGCTGTATTTTCTAGGAACAGGTACGAAAAGGCCTTGTCCCAGAAGGCGGCTGGAATAAGTGAGTCACTTGCATAATACATAGAGCTAGAAATAACAAGTCGCAGATTTTGTCCATAGGTGCACAAGAAGCTTGCGGCACAACTAGTCAGTGAAGTCAGATGAGCTGAGACCTGGAGCAACCAGAAACTCTCTCTGAAAGATCACTATTTGATGTGCACAACTTCAAAACATCCTGCATTACAATTAAGAAATTCTCCAGAATTCAGGGAGTTTTAGCCCCAGTTCCCAGATATTCCCCAAGAATATAAATTGATTGCCTCCTTCAACATGCAGAGATGCAACCCGTAGGGCAAAGCTGGAATGGTTACAGTCTTGGTCTCTAATACCTGGTCTCCTCTCTCATGCTGATGGTAGTCTTCAGTTTCTCAATTATTCTTGTCCTTACTCATTCCCCAGTTTGTGAGCCCCCACACCACACTCTTATTTAACTATTTCATTTAAGGTCAATAAAAACTGGCTCCTGCTTTTTTTGCTGTCCCACAGGGACTATATCTGCCCCTAACCTTCCTGCATATATCAAGAACTTGGGACTCACATCTGAAACCAAAAATAACCTTTAGGGTACAGAGGTCATCTTCCTCAAGAGGTCTCTTGATCCCCTAGCTTTTTAAATCACAGGGTCAACTTAGTTGGGTTCATGGTAGAAATATGAGTAAAGCTTGGATGTGCTGTGCTAAAGTTAGATCTACCTAAAGCCTCTTTAAACTCAAGTACTAAATACAAACGAGTCATCTTCCCACTCTCTTTCAGCTGAAGAGCGAGTGTTTCACACCCAGAGGTTTCAGAGTGGCTCTAAAACCCCACACTTTTATCTCTGATCTGCCTTCATTCCACCTAGGTCTAGTCAAAGGAAAATGGCCAAACATGCCAGAAATTTGGCAGCTTAAGGTATTTAGCAGGATATTCCTCCAGTTCACCTTGCAGAGCAGCCGTATGACAGGGGTGGCTGTCCAAACAGAAGCACAGCGGCAAGTTTTGCTAGAAAATGGTTTCAATTCCTGAAGAAGAAAAATATTAACAGAGAGGGGGTAATGTGGAAGCTCACAAGGTCACTCCTTGCCGTGCCGTGCCTTTGACCAACAGCACCTGGCACCAAGAGCCTCAGCAAGTTCTTCTCTCCCCACATTGCTCTTAGTCACTCCCTACACAGATTCCTCTAGGGCTGTTTAAATCAGCCTCTGTTCCAGTAGGCAACTAAAGTCAGTTAGTCCTTAAGGTATGAAATAGTTCCTAGGAACAGATTGTTACGGATAACAATCGCATTGGAGGAAAGCTTTCCTAATAAGCCAAGAAAACCCTTGCTTTTAAGCACTCGTCTGTACTCATATTCTGAATCTCTCCTTTTGGAACAGACAGCAACTACTGCAGCTTCACAGTGCAAGTTTTATACCCATTACTAGGAGCCTATTTGTACGTTCCTTGCACAGAAAACAGGCTGGACTCTGGGTTCCAGAGGCCTGGCACAATGTCTCAGGAGAAACACACTTAAAGCACATTTACTGTGTTGTCCAAGACAATTTGCCTTATTGCAGGAGGAAAGCCAACGGGGAAGTATTTTAGAAGATGGAATTAAGCAAAAGGAGTTAGAAATCTGTGTGCGGTCACAGGACCATGATCTCACTGCAATTACTGAGACGTGGTGGGATGGCTCACGTGACTGCAACGCTGTCATGGATGGCTGTGTTCTCTTTAGGAAGGATAGGCCGGCGAGGCGAGGTGGTGGAGTCGCTCTTTATGTGAGAGAGCAACTGGAATGTATCGAGCTCTGCCTGGGAGCAGACAAAGAGCAACTTGAGAGCTTGTGGGTAAGGAATAAGGGGCAAGGTAATATGAGAGACACAGTTGTGGGTGTCTATTACAAGCCACCTGATCAGGATGGGGAAGTTGATGAGGCCTTCTACAGACAGGTGAGAATCGCCTCACAATCACAGGCCTTGATTCTCATGGGGGACTTCAACTACCCTGATATCTGCTGGGAAGGCCACACAGCCGGGCACGTACAGTCCAGGAGGTTCCTCCAGTGCATTGATGACAACTTTTTGACTCAGGTGGTGGAGGAGCCCACAAGGAGAGGTGCACTACTGGACCTGATACTGACAAACAAAGAGGGACTGGTGGAGGACGTTAAGGTTGGGGGCAGACTGGGCTGCAGTGATCATGAGAAGATAGAGTTCAGGATTAAGTGCGGTATGCACAAAATAACAAGTAGGGTTGAAACCTTAAACTTCAGGAGGGCTAACTTTGATCGCTTCAAGGAATTGCTTGGGCAAATCCCATGGGAGAGGGCTCTGGAGGGTAAGGGGGCTCTAGAGAGCTGGCTGCTATTTAAGCGTCACCTCCTCCGAGCTCAGGATCAGTGCATCCCAAAGAGCACATGAGGCAAGGGAAGGAGGAGACCTGCATGGCTGAGCAGGGACCTTCTGAAAAAGCTCAGGTGGAAGAAGGGAGTTTACAGTAGGTGGAAGAAGGGGCTGACTGCTTGGGATGAGTATAAGAATACTGTCAGGGTATGCAGGGGTGAAACGAGGAAAGCCAAGGCAGCCTTGGATTTGAACCTGGCAAGGGATGTCAAGGCCAATAGGAAGGGTTTCTTTAAGTATATAGGAGGCAAAGGAAAATGTGGGCCTGCTGTTGAATGAGACAGGTGCCGTGGTGACGGATGATGCAGAGAAGGCGGAGTTGCTAAATGCCTTCTTTGCTTCTGTCTTCACTGCTTGGGCCAGTCCTTGGGAGTCCCAGACTTTGTGGGTAACAGATCCCGTGCCCAGATCACTACCACAAAAGAAACAACCAAAGAATTCAAAGTTTATTCTTTAAAAAAGTTATTTAAGAAGCAAAATAATTTACTTCAATTCAAACCAAAAGAGATGCATTATTGAAAGCAAATAATTATACAAAGTAACAACAAATTAGCCCTTGGATAAAAAGTCCAGATCCCAACAGTTCCCTACCATCCTGGAGGTTACACACAAACAGTCACGCGAGGCTTGGGGAGTAAAGCAGGACCACATATAGGACCAGAATGTAATTCGAACTCCCACTACTCTCCTTCCCTCCATAGGCCTAAAGTTGCTTGAAATCCAATTATATGTCATTGAACTGTACTAAAATTATGATGACTTAAGCATCATGGTTACTATCCAAAGTCCTACTTGTGACAGTAAGAACAAAATTTGAGCGCTGTTGTTTGAACAAGACCACGGAGTGGGGACACTACCAGTAACAAGCCAGAGTTACACGATCTCATTAAACAGCTGTTCTCAGTCCATAATAACAGAAACATTTCTTTCAGTTATTGGCATTTGTCATTTTCGAACAAGAGCTTTAACCATTTTCAGTGTTTTACCCCAAAGTTGTTTATGTCCGTTCTTCCCAATCAGGATAGTAAAGTCAGCTTAGCCCTAACACCATGTTTTGCTGTTAGTTCTAAGTAACAACATTTGGACTAAATCTACAAAATCACCCTTTCCAGGGATCTTGTCTTGTGCAAAAAATTCTGTGCTTATCTTCTAAATAATTTTCCCAAAAGTTCTTGGGGTTTTATCCTTCCACAGTTCTCTCTCAGTTGCCACCAAACTCAGGGTTCTCTTATATAGATAGCTGGAAACAAAGTACAACCATTTCTTTCATACTCATGACTAGTACACCACCCTGATTTTATATCACTCACTAGATTTGAACCTAAAATAATGCACTTCGGAGTACCACTTGTGTAGGTCAGCTCTGCAGCATCCTAAAAGCTGATGCATCCTCTTCTGTGGTTCCAAAGTTGAAACACATACTGACCTATCCTTACCAGCTCTTCTTCCCTTGTAAGATTTTTATGTAGTCCAAGAGAAGGGGAACACCGAAGAGAAAGTAGATGAATTTGCTAGTTCCCACACAATTCTGAGAATTCACAACTTTTGGAGTTACAGCTAGTACATTTTTAATGACAATCAGAACATGCCACACAGCGTAGAGAATTATAATGATGAATCTCCGTCCAAAAGAAGTACATTTTCCATACTTGGCCTTCAAACATCAAATGCCAGCTGCAAAAGGTTTCCCATGGCCACAGGCAGTCATGCTCTGAACTCTGCAGTCCTGCTTGCCAGGAAAGAAACTGTTTCCCAAATAATCAAAAAACTTAACATCTACCCAGATGACAATATCTCACCATTCAAACAAATTGCAAACTCCACACTGCTGCCTTTCCAAAATGCTGAGTCTATGTGACTAGATGTGTATCCCAAAAGCTATCATTTTCCACACGTAATTTTATTAAGTGGACAACAGTGAGTGACACATTTTTTTAGAAGCAGACAGTCATCTCCTGCCACAGTACTCAAAGAATGCTTTCACAAATAGTTTCTCTTCTTGCACCAAACAAAAGAAAAACGCTGCTTGCTGATTACAGGCAGAACAGCTTGCAGTGATGGTAATTCTGTCACACTTAATGTGCACGCATGAGATCATCTTCAAATGAATTCAAGTCACAGCCAATGCTATCTATAATGCTGCCCACCACTGTGTTTGTTGTTGGAAAATAACGTTTTATGTAAAAATATTGTGGTTTTAATTCTTATCAGTATCACATCAGTTAAGGGTAAAATAAATTGCAAGTAGTACTTATAAGGATTATCATAGATACAGAAAATGTGATTGATCCTCTTCACTCCAAGAACAGAATTAAGAATGTAAGTAGTGAAAGAAGCAATATTAATATTTCTTCTTTGACTATTAACTAATTTCCATTTGAAATTGAGAACTCCAAAATAAGATGAACCTGATACCAACAAACTGAAATTAAGCCTCTTGCAATTTCTCTGCTCACGCTGGTTCGGCAGACTGACTGAATGCTCCCTCTGTTGGCTGAAGGCTCATTACTCTCCCATCAGATAGTAACTGGGAACTCAGCTTTGCTGTGGGATATGCTGTCTGACCACACAGAACAGAATCCAGCAGCAATAGTAGAAGGAGGGAAGACCACAGTATTCCAAGAAACACTGGTAGGTTTTGCAACCGTGACCACACTGGTACATCCCAATTATATGAGGTGACAATCTTTTGTTCTAGGAAGAACTCACACAGGTTATGCAGTAACGCTCTCGTACTTTGAGGCTGTTAGAACAAGCCCAGAATTCCCATCAGTATACCATACACGTTCTGCGTAGTCATCGCTGAACTCACTTCCTTCCTCATTTTACAAGGGGGCTGCAATCAGAAGCTAGCTCCATTTTCTGTTACAGCTTATTGCCTTCTCCCCTCAGTCTGGACATACCAAGTCCGTGACCCACTGCACCGAATACAGTCAATCTGAAATCCCGCACTTCTTCCCTGACAAAGAAACTCTCCAACTATATTTTACAGAGAGACATTTTGAAGAGACTACGTCTAAAGCCTGGTGGTAAGAAAATAATTCAGAATAAAATAATTTGCAAGTTACAGACAGAGCTGAATAACAGCTGTCCAAACTAAGTAACCTCCAGTTACTAGATTAACTATTGAGAAGCTGCCCATAAATGTTGGCAGTTAATGTTAAAAATGAACAGCTGACTAATTTGGTCCAACTTGGAAAAGGAAGAGATCTGAATGCTGCAGAAAAACAATATAAACAGTTCCACCTATAAAGAAAGTAAAAAACAGATGCAGTATGTCCCCCTCTCTAGTTCAAGAGTCTCACAAGTGCCTGCTGGATCTTCCAGCCTACAAATTCCTGGTTTAGTATCCTGTCAGGCAGAGATCACCCACACAAGACTTGCCTGCTGAAGACAATGAGCTCCCAAGAAATTCCAGTCCTTGGGGTTTCCCTCAACACATGGGAACAGGGGACAACTTCAAGTCTTCTTAGCAAACAGGCACTTAAGTTAGGAAAGATATCTCCTTTTTATTACAGAAAGTGAAGATCGGGTAAGTGGTACTCCTGGCACAAAGGAGATGTTGCAAATATGCTGTGCAGGTGCGCAGACAGCAGATACCAATCTGATACGTGACAGGAGCATTCATGGTGGCAAAACCATTTCTGACATTACCTGCCAAGCAATGATTAGTGCCACGCCTCTGACAGCACTGCAAATCAGAATCCAATAGAAAGGGGACAAACATCACTTCTAGTTTTTACTCTAGAGGTAAAGTGTCATCTTTTTCACAGCATTTAGTCTCTATAGTTCACTTTTCTTGTGACTGGTTTTCTTCTTTAACAAACCCAGATAACACAGTGAGAAGAGAAACCCAGTACATCAAGAGATGCGACTGCTCAGTTATCTGAGCAAGGAGGTAGACGCCATAGATGTTCTCTTCAGATGGAGCACAGAAAAGGACCTTGTGCTAATCAACTGGTACCAAGATTCTGGTCACTGGCACCAAAATACTGCAGGGCATCAGCATGAGATGCAATACAGTAGCATCAAGACTCGTCCAGCAGCTACATCTGAACCACGTATTCTTGGCATCTGCAACAGAAAGGCATCTCTAATTAGCTGCTGTCCACCTTTGTGATGTGCAGTGCAACAGCGTAGTACAAAGTCCTGAACTGGTCTACCTGTTTTTACAGTGATAAGCAACATCTTTTAGGTAACTGTTGAAAAGAATTTCACTCATTTGGGGAACTCATAAATTTCATTACTTGCATTATTTTATTTGGTTAATTTTCAAAAAGTGCATATTCCAGAGAAACACAGCCCAAGATAAGCTGCGCAGAAGTCAATCTATCATCAACAAATGGCGACTGCAGAATTGTGCCCGCTCCTCTTTCTAGTTCAGGTGTTTCTTGTGTACTAGACAGAAATTACACATCCTCCAAACAGTCAAAATGGTTTCCCAAAGGAAGGAGACACTGACAAGAATGATACAGAAAATCACACAATTACCAGTTCAGTGGAAATCCACAGGCTACAGCCAAAACGTTGTTGTGAATACTTTCCTTTTCTTAAGCTTTGCTCTCTACTTAGAGAGGAAAAAAAAATTGTTGGAGAAGTAATTAATTGTAGGATCTAAATCTCTGGATATCAATGGGCTGTATAATAAGGAAAAAACCCACCTATAGCAGCAAGTATTTCTAAAATATGCTTATCAACAACTGAGAGACATACAAACAAGAAGCTAATGAAAAACTTAAATTACAGCTCACCTTGTCACATCACAATGCAAGACAATCCCATACAGCCTTGATTCCCATCTTCATTGCTGTTGAGCTTTTTCATCCGGTACTGCCGGATCTCTCTCACCAGTGTGTAAAAAGCATCTTCCACACCCTGAATGCAAATGATCCCGGTAAAGTATTTTCTTTCCTGAAGCTTTTGAGATCACTGTTCTTTCCATCACAAGATCCCTTAACATATTTGAAAGACATACTTCTACAGGAAGAGTAGTAGCCACCTTATCCCATAGTTCATAATAGGAAGAAACCAGCACTTATGTCCCAAACTCTCCACTTACACTCTTAACTCTTCCTCTGAGGCAAACATCCAGGGTAACAGCCATTAAAAGAAACAAGGCAAATTGTAACTGTAGAGAGGTTCCAGACAGAAAACAAGAAACTTCTTGACTAATCACCTCCATGTTGAATTCTTAGAATTTTCTGTATACTGCTTAGTAACTGCACCCTTTCTGCTTCATTCCACACTGATGTAGGTAGAACACAGGCTGACTGGACAGAGCCACATATTCAATGCAGCTCTGAAGAAGTCTATTAGTCCAGTCTAGGGAATTCTTCCTATAAACATAATCTCATAATTGGCCTTCATTAAGAAGCCAAAAAAACCCGAACAAGTCTGGGATGACTAACCGCACAGTCTGACCACTTCTCAGCAAGAGCAGATGAGGCTCTCTTCTTCTTACAAACATGACCCATTTGAAAGGAAGTCAATACAAGCCTGAAGTGATTTGTGTACCGGCCGAGCCCAGTGATAAAAACAGAATTCTTTCAAGCTAAGAGTGAGTGGGGAAATAAAAAGCTAAAAATTGCAAATGGATTAAAAAATGCTTACTCCTGTAGGTATGAAAAAAAGTACATGGGAAGATGTTAGGCCATTCTACATTTAGCATACAGGAAGAAGTCGGACTCAGAATGTCAGCATCTTACCTGTCTTGTTTTGGCAGATGTCTCTATGAAGGGGATTCCATAGCTTTTTGCTAATTCTTGAGCCTGTTTTGTGTCTACTGTTCTTGTGGGCAAATCACACTTATTCCCAACTAGCACCATTGGCACATCATCTGAATCTTTCACTCTCTTGATCTGTTCTCTTTAAAAAGACAAATAAAAAATAAGTTAGGAACTATTTTCCAAATATAAAAGCTGGTTTAGTTTAGTTCAGTATTCAAACCACCTTGTGCTACAAAAATATATATTAAAGATGGACAGGATCTCAGGGGTTCAGC